TGCCAGTATAACTATTGGATGTTGTGCCAGTATAACTATTTCAGTAAAAATTAGACTTCTGCCTAAAATAGATTCATTGGCACAAAAAATGTGTAGGCCACGCTTGGGTCTAATAATTCTGTCCTTCTCTGACTAAGATGGGGTATATTTCAAGGGATTTATACAATAAGATCATTTAAGTTATGCTTTAGTTGTATGATTGATATACGTTGTAATTAACGATGCTTACAATTTACCTTTCTCCATGTCTGGCTTTGAGCTAATCTAGGGAGCCAAAGGAAACCTAGGTATAATGCAGAAGGAATTCAACAGGTTTTCATCATGGTGAGAGTGATTGTTTGAATGACATCTGCACTTGACAGTCAGAATCAGAGATAATTTTGAATGATGCATACATTCACTACAGTCCCATATTAAGGGCAGGAGTACCATGCATGCCCATTCCTTACCCAATAGGTGTTATGACTTTGAATTAGTGATGGTGGCGTCTGAGACATTTTCTAGCCCTGCCAATGGCTCATTATTATCTTGAGTAAGTTACTGAGCTTGCTGAGTTCATATGTCTTTAAATAAGGCAGGATGAGTGTAAGGATTTAGGCAATTTTTGCAATGAGCAGAAACCAGATTTTGAATAAACTAACATCCAAAATCCAGTTAAAATAGGAAATGAGGTAAGCAACCATTTTAAAGGGTTCACAGGTCAACGGCAAAAATGTTCAAACTTGAAGGCCTAAAGATAGATACCCATTTAAATATTTAAGCATTTTTCATAGGAGATTCTGTAGATTCCATCTAAAGTCCTTGAGGACTGTGAATGGTTAGCACTTCTAAAAATCAGAACTATTTGTAGACTCCCAAGCTTGAAAAGTTTGGCTAAGAAACATGAAGTTGAAGCAAAATGACTTCATGCATATTGAAGAAAGACAAAAGGTAGGCAATGCAGAGACCTAGCCAGCTTTACAGTAGAAGTCATGTAGGGTATATAATTGGTCTAAAACGAAACTAAATAGTCTTCAGATATAGTTTCAGGAGATCAAGGTTATTGAGGATCATTGTTTCTGGGAAGAATGTATTACTGGAAATTGTTCTAGTACATTGAAGTGCAGAAGAATCCATATTTTTGTGAGAGTGGAGTTCTCAAATACACACTTTTCTGTCAGGTCTCACTTGCAGTCCATACAAAATTGCCAGGAACCACTACAAAATAACATTCTCTAATGTTGTGGATCTTGTATGTTGTTTTTCTCTTGGGTGGCACCTTCAGTTTCCCCCTCTTGTTAAGTTCTTCCCGTCAAATACTCTACTTTAGTAACTAATTTCCTGAAGAGGCTGTCAGCATCAGTTGCTTCATCCCAAGGGCTGGGAGAGCTGCCTATATGCATCAGTCACTCAGTCCTTCAACACTGGGGCTTGAACCTAATTCCTTTGTGTAGCGGATAGTTGTGGAACCACTTTACTAACTGCTTGGTCAGCCACAGGCTTATATCTTAAATTCAGATGCTCTTACGGAGGGACAACTAATTTGGACTATATCTGCTCTACATAGACCTGGGCACTGACAGAACGCGTTTTACTAGTGTAGGAACATTTCCATCAGCCCATGTGAGAATGAGATAGTATTTTGAAAATGGAAAGGGTCACCAAATGATTTTAGTGAGAATTAAAAGAAAAAGTTTTAAAGAAAATTCTATGTTATCTTATCTTGGTAGATACCCTACAAAGGTAGATGACTGCTTGTTTCTCATCTTTGTGTTCTTGATCATCCACGTTCTGTAATTTCATCTTGTGTGTGCCTTAAATTCAATATGGAGGTTAGACTTGATATCACCATTAGATGCTGGAAGTTTAAAATACTATAGCCTTGAATGATTACTTTTGGCATTAATCAGCTACTTCTTGAATCATTTCAGACTGCCAGATTGATGTGAGCTTTACATGAGGAAAATAAAATATTTTGTAGAATATTGCTGCTTTTGGAGACAGTGAAATAGAGCTGTGCTGCATATTTGAGCAGGGATGTTACTTCACCTGTGACACTTGCCATCGAAAGTGTTACTTCTAACTTTCCTCCAAATTAATTATTTAAAATTCTTGTAATTTTTTTCAGTGCCTTCTATCCTTCAGGGTTTGATGGGATTTCTAGTACACTTTATTTAATGTTCCGTTAGTAGGAGCAATGATGCATCTTTTTAGAAACTAAACATTGTGCAATTTGTAATTCAAAGGAGCACAATTGTACAAATTCTGAATTCTCAAATTCTGAATTGTACAGGAGGTGAGCAAGGGGATTATGGCATCAGTTTGGGTTGATTGACCTCTTGTAACTGGAGCTATGCAGTATTTTAACATGTGACTTATTTCTCTTTGTGCAAGGGTTTGTCAATGAGGCAAATCAGGTTCCGGTTCGATGGGCAGCCAATCAATGAAACAGATACACCTGCACAGGTAAAAATTATATTTAAAGATTGCTGCAGGAGTTAATGGTTGTGTCTTATACTACTGCTAAAGAGCAACATCCATATAACTATCCATGCTTAAGTAATGGAACTTGACCATTGGTATAAGTTCGGACTTTTACAGTAACTAATTCAGAAATGTTGGGACAAGTATAACACTATATTCTGCATCTAGAATATTAAATTTATACCACCACAGTGCCAGATAAGATGATGTACAGCTTCTACTGATGCCAAGCCCTGTAAGGATATTACTTTATGGATTACAATGGTTGTGGTGGGTTGTTAATCCTGGCAGGTAAGTATTGAAGTTCTCTTTCAAATAATAATATTAGTGTTAGCATACTGACAGGCCTGCCGGTTGATGGCTCTGTAGAACGGTATACTATACTATAATTTGAAAATTGTTTAGTATAGTTAATGTGAAGTTAGGATCTCAGTATGTAAAGTTACTAAGTATTGTGCATTGAGATGGTTGAAGTATGTAAGTTTAAAAACAAAAATCAGACCAGCAATGTAGGATGCTGGTTCATTTTGGCAGTGATTGCTGGTGATACCCAAGAATGTCTTTCTGGAGTGTTTTGTGTAGTAGGCCCCTGAATTGCATGTTGATTAAAGTGTATTCTTTCAGCATGCCATCCCATGATAAATAAGGGACTTTGCAATTTTGTCAGTGCTGTCATTGGGCTGTTGTTTCCAGACTTCTGCTTCAAAGAATGTCACCCTAGCTGTTGAAATTTAAACTTCTGGTTAAGCCTGAAATGCAGAGAATCAAAATCATATGCCATTTGTACACCATGCATGCTATGAAAGCTAAATCGGTTTATTAAAAACCGTAAAACACTGTGGACTTACAACAGGTGCAGAATCACACTCTTAAAACTTCACCAGGAGCATTACTGTGATGTAGCAGCACCAATGCACTGTGGACATGGTCTCTTAGACATACCACAGTGGACCTTTCTTTGCAGTGTAAATGTACTTGTTTAAGCATAACATCTGGAGCCCTTACAAAGCACATGAGATCTTTTATAGGGGAAAAGGCAGTATGCCAACACAGAGTGCCACTTGCAAGACTTGTACTCTTGAACCTCTTTAATCTAGCAACCCTGGGAAACAGGGTTTGCTGAATTAAAGATTTTGCCAGGCCAGAGAAGGGTGTGAGGGAGATAGGGGTGCAGTGCTTACCTGGTGCTCTGCATTCCTTGTCGCTCGCAGACACCACCCCCTGCTGTTATGGGAGTAGTGGACAAAAGCCTCCAGCAGAGCATGTCATTCTGCTGCAGTTCCCCCAGGTGTGTGGGTGGGTGGGTGGGGAGGGGAGTGGC